CGACCTGTTGCGCGCGCATGCTTTGTAGTTACGAGTTGTGCTGCTAGGTGGTGTTAGCTGGGGGTCTCCCGCGACTGTTAGTGAGCTAGCGTCAGTCTGAGTTAAGTGGTTTGTCTCTGGTGCTCTGTTGTGTGCGTTCCTGTTTCAACCCTTTGGCGATTAGTGAGATGGCCGACCAGAAGGAACAAAGAGTGTGCGTGAAATTTTGCTTTCTGTTAGGGAAAACTGCACTTCACTCTTCAAGTCGCAGCAAACATTCACGCGGTTTTCTCTTTGGTCATCACCGAGCAAGCAAGGAACAAATTTTGCAGACACCCGTCTCATGTGCAAACCTTCGGTTAAAATTCGCTGGACCGTGCTCCATGAGATGTTCGTTTCCTCAGAAAGTTGGTCAATGGTCTTTTGACGATCTTCATCAATTTCACGCACACTCTTTGTTCCTTCTGGTCGGCCATCTCACTAATCGCCAAAGGGTTGAAACAGGAACGCACACAACAGAGCACCAGAGACAAACCACTTAACTCAGACTGACGCTAGCTCACTAACAGTCGCGGGAGACCCCCAGCTAACACCACCTAGCAGCACAACTCGTAACTACAAAGCATGCGCGCGCAACAGGTCGTTTCCGGTTATTTTTGGATCCCCCCCCTCGTATCTTGATGGAATGACAAAATTTCAGAAGTGGTAAAGAACAAAAATGAAGTATGAAGAAATTGGTTTCAGCAAAGAAATTAAGAAAATGAGCAAAGATGAATAACATTAAATAATAAAGAAAGCAGTGTGAAAATGATCAAATTTACTAAAAGGGATTCATGGGAATGACTCCATGGATGATTTCAAGAACACACACACAGACATATAACCTACTGAAAACTGATTCCAGTATGATTTACAGACAAAAATGTTCTTGCAGAGCTGTATCTTCTGTGACATAATGCTGTACAGTCCAGTGAAAGATAAGCAGTGCTTCAGAGGAACATATCACCTCTGAAATATCAGTTCTCTCTCACTGAACTACATAAGGTTATATTCCTGATGACAGAACTTTACATTCACATGAGGATACCAAATTCAACGACTTTCTTGTTCCATTTATTGACTCCACTACTTGCCAATTATCCTGTTATTAGATTTATATGCTGATTACTAAAGATTATGCAGGTACAAATGCATACAAACACCTTACAAGACTGACTCATACACAGAACAAATGATAATTTTTTAAGATCTGATGCATCTAGACTGAAGATGATAGAAAGCTAACAATACCTGCTTTGCTGCATCTATAAGCCTTTCTTGGGCCACAAACTCATTATTCAATGTCTTGGCTTTGTTCAATTGCTCCTCCACAGTCTTTGGTTCTGCTCCAACAGGTTCTGAGAGAACTTTATTGGCTCTTGGTTCAGCTTCGCGCAACCATGCTCGAGCCTTGTCCAGTGCATCACGGTACTCCCGCTGGCGTCCCCCCACACCAGATAACCGATCTGACAATCCATTAGCACGAGAGAGCAAATCTCGATACTGTGCTGTAACTGCCAAAACTTCATTTCGTACAACAGAGTCCTGTGAAGGTTCAATGTGAGGTAGCCGCTGGGGTAGGCTTGTTCGGAATTCATTCAAAGATGTAAGGTATTCCTATAAGAGAAATGAAAGTAAGCTGCAAATAATTAACTGCAAAACTTACAAAACTCAGTGTGCAAACTTTTAACCAAGGAAAACAAAGTAATAAAAGAATCTACAGGGAATAAGCAAATTTTCCATGAAACAGAACCAGACTCAAATAATTTTCTATTCAAAAGAGATTTACAAGTTGAAATTTTTAAACTGAAGTAGAGTGCTTTTACAAAGTCAAAAGCTTTCTACACCTACCTGTTCATATCAAACTATGAAAAACTATCACATAAGAGTGAGAGAGTGTGAGAAAGACAGAATAAGGGATGGAAGTGAAGAGGTGAGAGGACTGAATAATAACATACTGTATATGAGAAAATGTTCACTTCTGTCACCCCCACACACCAAACATAACTTTCACATATAAGCGGAATTTAAGTGTTTTGCTAACTAGCAGCAAGTAATGCATACAGACTGATGTCAATAAACAACTAATATGAGAGTTTATTTAAAAACAATGGGAAATTTTCTGTATGTAAAACCAACAACAAACAATTATAAGTTTAAATCTGCACTGTTTTTATGACACAAATGTTATTAGCTCAGGACTATTTACAATGATAACTAGTTCTTGAATAACAAGGGTCTCCTGGACTCCAATGAGTTCAACATATTGTGGCATATTTGCCCCATGCAAGATCAGATGAGCCACAAAAACAGCCATTTCTAAGTAATACGCTCACCAACAATGGAACAGCAGGGTTATGCGACCTGTGTCTAGGCAACGGCTCAGTAAACACACTTCTACACAGGCACAATGATGTCACATTTCAACAGCACTCAGCTAACATGTGACTTGTTTTCTGTGTGGTCTGTACTACACATCAACAGAACTTTGTTTTCTCTGTTGTGTGCACAGAGCCTATATAATGAAGACCTGCTGTAATTTAGATTAGTGAGGAGTGCAGGAGAGTTTTTAGCTGAGTTCCCAGGTTCCAAGGTGGTTGAACAAGGAATGGCAAAACGATGTCATAGTGATTTGAAGTGCTAGTTTTTGTGTTGAGACCCGCTGCCACGAGATGACTAGTGCAGACTGGGAATCCTAGTGCATGTCCAACAGTGGACTGGAAAGTGTGTAAATCAGGAATACTGCTATATTAATTGTAATTAAGAGAGACTGTAACCGAAGTGATAACAAATATAAGCACCATTATTTTTGTCACCCGTACCCCCATACATGTGACAATATTTTGTGTGGACAGAGTGTAGTGGGTGGCGAGTGTTATTCACATCCCCACTCATGTATGCCCATAACCATCGAACATTCCAGACATCCTCCCTCTTCTTGCAACTTCCAGAAACTGAGTGTGCCTCATCTATTATGGACTATTCTAGAAATTCAACTTGTACAAAACCTTAGCCACATGGCAAGCAGAGGAAGTACAGTTGATACTGCACTTAACAGCAAAATCCATCGCTCATACGTGGTGAAACAGTACATGCTGTGAAAAGTATGTAGCGAGTTCTGGACTCTCACATGAAAGCTAGTAAATGTAAGAACAGAACAGTGTAATGGTGTAGAAGCGTAATAGTAGTAAACTAAAACAAACTGATGTCAAGATTTTGCCAAACCGTAAATAACTGCTACAGAACAAGATACATGTTATAACATGAATGAATTTCATGTGAAAATAAAATTACTTCTTGACGATAAACAAATCAAAGAAGATCAAAGGCAACAGGAATGGCTACTTACCAAATCAAGCATAATAAACAAATATGGTGTTGATGGTTTATGAAATCCAATATAATACAGAAAGGCGTGAACTAGTGTAAATGGAGTAGGAAAGACAGGGTGGAATTTATATGGATATATCACATCTTCATTTAAAAAAAAAAGGTCCAGTGTAGTGGTTAAAATTTTTACAGTATTTGAATTCTCCAGTTCTGTGAGGAAAATCTCTTAGACAACATCATAACCTATTCTTCCAAATTCCATGTTTGTTATCTTTGCCACATTACACAAGTCAAATATTAACTCTTTGACTGGCGCGAAGGGTATTTAAATCCCACCCCTGTCCTGGCAGGCCCTTTAAACCTTATGCCGCTAAAGTGCATGTAGTTACTTTTTCCTAAACAACTTCAACAAAAATTGGTTTTTAAAAACGAAATTTTTAGGAACTAATTAAAATACAATATTTTATGCAATAAATGCTTTTCCACACCTCTTTATTAGTTTTTCTTCGTGTGATAAACATTGTAACATGAAAGTTTGCAGAGAGCCACACCACAGCCTGCACACATGATACTTGTTTCTTTTCTAACCTTGTGCTTAGCACTCACGCGACATTTTCTCAGGGCACCATTCTTCTTATTGTTACTGTTAGGAACATGGACCATTTTGTGAATTTTCAAGCCACCCTCTAGACGATTTGCTGGCTCTTTCACTGGTGGTTTTATCAAGGTCGAGGGCGGAGGCGTGACTGCACTCTAGTCTGACCCAATAGATTCGTCATCCACTTCATTCCTTGACTTTTCTCCCTCTCCACACTGTTTGTTTGGTTCAGTCATTTTTCTACACAGTCCAATATAAAATCTTTGAATCTGTAAT